TTCCTTGAACTAAATTACTCCTCAGTTGTCTCAACTTCAGGTGGGCTTGGGAGATAGCAGAGCTGGTTTCAGATCCACCTGCTAGCTCCAGAACTTTGGGGAAACTATTTATCCTCTGTGAGCCTCAGTTTCCTCAACAATAAAATGGACATAATAATGGCGGCCCCCTCTCAGAGAACTATTTTGAGGATAAATATGCTGTTTACGAGGGCCTGGCATAATGCCTGGTACACTGAACACATAAGAAATAACTCAGAAACCTCAATAGCACCTGCACAGCTCCAAGCACAGGCAGAGTTTGTATTCGGGATTCCCACTTCTAGTTCTTTGCCTCCCTCTCACCTTCTTGTAGTACAGGCTGAGTATCCCTTATCTGAAATGCTTGGGACCAGAAGATTCGGGGTTTGGATTTTTTCAGATTTTGGACTGTGTGCATTACACTTACTGGTTGAGCATTACTAATCCAGAAATATAAAATCTGAAATGCTTCAGTGAGCATTTCCCTCAAGTGTCATGTTGGCACTCAAAAAGTTTTGGATTTTGGAGCATTTTAGATTTCAGATTTTTTGATTAGGGATACTTAACCTGTATCTCTAATTCCTTCATGCTTCCTTTCAAAACCTCTTTTCTCACAGAAATGTGAAGCCCACTCATAGTGCAGTGTAACTGATGGAGAACAGTTCAAAACATTATTTCTGTTAGGGTAAAACAGAGACTTCAATAGGAGTCAAAGCCTTTGGTTAAAGCAAGGGCACTCCTAAGGCAGACGGGGGGGCATGTGGAAGGGTCAGGGAGACGTCTCTCAAGTCTCTGCCAACACTGCAGCATTAGCCCACTCTGCTTGGAGCCCACCACTGGTGGGGGGAGGGCCCAGGGTGCAGGAAGTGAGGGGAGCCCTGGGCTGTATGTCTCACAAAGGGGTTCAAAAGGCCATGCACAGTGTTCATTTTATACTCCAGTTCCTCTCAGAACACATAAAAAGCAGGCAGGAAGGAAAGGCCTACTTGAGAAGGCAGGAAAGGTAAGTGGTAAGTCCCACGGGATGTTCCATGGGGCTGACAGGCTCTGCTCAGACCATGTGTAGAGTGACCTCGGGTTCAGTTCTGGGTGCCCTACTTTAAGAGGAATGCTAGTTAGCTGCAATGCATCCACAAAGCCAAAGAATGGGCAGGAGACCCTTTTAAAGCTGTGGAGGTAAATATGGACCCGGAGAAGAAAAGACCGAGACGGCCTGCCATCTCCATTCCTGTCCAGGAGGGACTGTCCTCCTTCTCTATGGCTCCAAAGAACCAGGATCGATGGGTGGAAACTGAAGGGACACTGGCTTTCGGTGAACAAGAAAATGAAGCTTTATGGACGGGCTGCCTTGTGAGACTGTGCACTCCCTGTCACTGGAGTGATGGAGCATGGGTTACAGGACCCCACGGTTAGGACAAGAATCACCTTCAAAGCCTGACTGACTGGCTGGGACTACGTGATTTTTTTTTTTCTTTTTTTGGCTTTTAGAAAACTTTTTATTAGTAAATGAATTTTAAATTGTTCATTTGTAAGTAAATTTGTACAATAGTTGGAAAACGAAAAACAGTACAAAGAAAAAAAGAAAAGCTGGATACCCTTTATCAGTTGTCAGCATTTTACCTATTTGTTTTATTACTTGCATTCTCTCTTTCTCTAAGACTAGATGATTTTTAGTTCTCTTACTAAGAGCTGTGAGTCTCCATGCTGAGGCTTCTTTGCAGGCAATAGGATTTTAGAAAAATTGGAATCCAGCTGGCCGTGCTCTTCACAGCACTCAGCATAAAATCTGAACTCCCTGTGGAGTCTGACCCTGACCCTCTCTCTGGCTTCATCTTCTCCTGCTCCTCATTTTGATCACCATGCTGCACCACACTGGTTTTCTTGTCTTCCTCAGACTTGCTAAGTTGATACCTGGTGCAGGGACTTTGTACTTGCTAGTTCCTCTGCCTTCAACACACTTCGCTGGCTTTCACATGGCTGGGTCCTTCTAACATCCCCTGCCCCCTAAGCCCTTCCTCCATCCTCAACTCCCACAGGTTACTCTATCACATTACCTCATGTCATCTCTTACTATCTGTAGTGATCTTATTTGTTTGCTTGCCTTTTGACTGTCACCCTCACTAGAATGTAAGCTCCATGAGCACAGGAGCCCTGTGTGTCTCATCTTTTACCATGTCCTCAGTGCTTGGGTCAGAGAACACTAAACCAATATTTGTTGGATGAATAAATAGGAAAACAATTGAGAACATCTGGTCAAAGAACTGTTAATACAAGGACAGAAGTTAACATTTGACAACCTACACAAAATAGAAAGTGCTTCTCTAGAAAGGTAGAGAAATGTCTATACCTGGTGGGGTATAGTCTAAGTGACAGAGGTTTGGGAAAAGTTTCCCCTAAGGGTACCACATCCCAAGGAAGATGTAGACTTTTCTCAGGTGCCAAAGTGTGTTCGCATGTTTGCTGCCATCTGCTTGAGAAGATGGAAACTTACTAGCACTCCTTGAGCAAACTCCTAGGTGGCCAATATGAGAAAGACAGGTGTGGAGGATTATTTCTACATTTGGATGCCCATAGAACTGACTGAGAATGCCTCAATTCCTTCAGAAACTGGCTCAGAAAACTTCATGTTAAGATCTCTTTCCAAGGAGCCCACAGATAATTCTATAGCAATGCTGTGGACAGATGCATTTTTCGATGCATTCCCTTTTCAAAGATCACTCGATCTATCAGAATGAGGTTTATCAGCCTCCAAATGGTTCATCATTTGGAGGTGTGCACGTGATCCCATTAAGAGGTCTGAGGCTTTCCCTCATCTATCCATTTCCTGTCAGCTCTAATTATTGCTGATTACCTTGGGCACTGGGTCTTTGGGTGAAGTTTTAAACTTAATCTAGTGAACTTAAAACTGGCCTCCCCAATCACAGAAGAAAAGTCCAACACCATTTATGGTGGAAAAGGCTAGAAGTCACAAGACCTGGAGAAAATGGAACCAGCCTCTGGAAAAATGATTGTTAAAAGTTTCTCCTTATTCACTTAACTCAGAAAATAACAGTAACTATTTAATAGAGAAAAGAAACTCGCTACTTAATCAATGAGAAAAAATGCTGATTTAAAAAGTTTTAAAAGGACAGTATGTTAAAATTAAATTATTGCCACTAAGTGCAGCTGTCTGAGAGGCAGTATATGTGACGGATAAGAGAACAGAATGAAGAAGCCGACGTCCTGGGGTTTGAATTCCAGCTGTTACTTAACTGCTGTGTGACTCTGGGCAAAATATTTAGCTGCTCTGCTGTGTTCCTCAGTTTGCCCATCTATAACATAAACATCCTGATAGTACTTAGCTCATGATGATTTTAGGATTAATTGAGTTAATAAAAGTAAAGTTCTTAGAGCAGTACCTAGAATAGTAAGCACAAAGAAAGTATTTACTATCATTTCTTCTCTCTTGCTCCCCACCTCCAATTAAAGGAAAAAGAAAATCTTATTCTGCAAAATACCTTCAGATACATCATCTAATTTTGATCTTAACTGGTGATCAAAATTACTGATGCCTGGTGACATCAGTAGAAGATATTTTAAGGATAATTAGTCACAGGCTCAAGGTCATTTAGCTGATTAAATTGTTGAACTCTAACTCGAACCCAGGTCTTCGACTCTGAGGCTGGCAGCTTCCCCACTGCAACTGCAGCTTGCATCATTGATCACAGTCATGGGTGCAACTTTGAAGCTGGCACTGCCTTTTAAGGAGATGCATCCTTATAAGGCTTATAGCCAAAAGCCTCTGTTAAATCCTACAGAAACTCGAGTGTTTTTGAAATACAAATAGGAAAAAGCTAAAGGTGAATGAAAACTTTCATTTAAACTTAAAACCATCTTCTGTGATGTTTCTGACCCAAACATTGAAGTATTACTTTCACTCACACATAAAAACACATGGAGATAAACAAACCTAGAAAGCCTAATTATTTTCCCCATTTCATCTAAGCAAAATGTCAAAAGAAAACAAACAGTCCAGGGGAAAAGTAAATTAGCTTTGTAAAATCTTTTCAGTTAGAAAGGCCTAGAAAGTCCTAGAATTCTGGTAGCTGTATAGGTAAGGCACGTCTATTTATTTTTAAAGATGATAAACATAATTTGAGGATTATCTTAAGCTCCCATCACCCATGGTTCTCAGGATTCTAGTTACTATCAGAGGAGGTCCAGCTTTGGCAAGGTTAATGGTGATGCCTTAGAGTAATTACTTGGAAAAAATAATAAACATCATTTCATAGTTTAATACCATGGTATCATTCCCATCAATATCCTTTTCTATTTTCATTTTTGCCCGTCACAGAGAAAAAAACAGAGAGGCTTAATTTGATTTACAGAGGGAAAAACAACCTTAAATGTACATTTTTGTTGGGGTGGGAGGAGGGGGTACAAGGAGAAAAGGTCAACCAGCTGGTTTTCATCTATATGCCATAATTCTCTCTTTAGTTTACACCATTAAACTCCAAAGCTTTGCTTTAATCTTAACTGTTACAGTATGCCTTATTGCAGATTCTACCCTGTCACATCCCTGATAGGGTTTCAGACTTTGGCAAAGCACTGTCCCCCAAGTTGGTCCTTGCCATATGGGTAGTAAACGCATCCAACATTTTTTCATCGGCGCCTGCGTCATTATATTTTGTCACCAATGGTTTCTCGGGTTTTCAGTAATTGCTGTGTATACTGCGGTTTGGAGATGCCAAGATGATCTCCTACATTTATTTGTACACAGCCGAGGCTTCAGTGGGCTTCCCTGTCCTGCTGTCCTTTTGTGGATGACCTAACATCTGTTTGTTGAAGGCGAGAAGGGGGGTGGTGGTGTGTGTGTGTGAGTGCAGAAGCCATAAAGGGAAAAGAAAACAGAAAGCAGGAGCAACTAATGAGGGGGAAAACAGCTTTCTAGAAGCCTTTTACACTAATTGAGGATAAGAGGCCAGGTGAGGGGTGGAACCTACCTGGTCTGTCTTCATTTTGTGAATCACATCTTCGGCACAGTTCTGGGATGGTCTTGAGTGATGTAACTGAATACTGAATGAGAAGCCAGAGAGAAAGCATGTAAAATAACAATTTAAAATGAGAGCCTTCACTCAAATTGGCCAGAAAAACAAAACACAAGGTAAAACTTGAGTATAAAAGGTATATTCAGGAAATCTATCTTGCTTTACCCTAAATGGGCTGCTTGGTAATATGGCAGCATCCCAAGCCCGCTCTACAAGCATCTGAGCAGATGCAGATTAAAAAGAGGGCTGGGCAGTCCTTCTTTAAAAAAGTGAAGAGGAGCCAGCAGACATTCTATCTCCCATCACTTCAGCTACCTGTGGAAGACAGAAGAATTATCTAACCTTGAGAGTTACCAGGAGATGGCCATAATATTTGTATTCTGAATCCTAAGAGTCAGTTTATGCATGAAAAGCCAAGTGGAAGAGCACCCAGCCTCTGCAACATCCAGGGCAGTCAGGAGACATCTCTCTGCTGATGCTGATTGGACAATGCAACCTGGTGTTACCATTTGCCACAGATTTTACTATGTGGCATCTGTAATCTCCATGGGAAATACCAGGGTAATATAATAAAAAGTGAGAGGAGCAAGGTTCTATGCTAGGAAGCTCATCTGTTTCACACATAGATTAGTATGAATTGAAAGAAACCACCTTCCAGGCTCTGTTCCAGCACCAACTCAGGGGCTGGCTATCAGGATAACAAATTATGACACAAGGGGGCATAAAATCAGAAGAGCTAAAACAAATGTAAAATCAATAGCTATGATTTATGGGACTACATTTGATGCCAATCAATCTTTCTTTAGAGAAGGCTGTTTTAAAACAAAATAAATAGGATGAACTCTTTCTTTAATCAAAGGCAAGTCAGGGACTGTCTTCAATCATGCTCATACTTAATTCATAAAATACAGCTTCCTGAAAATATCTTGCTTTGTACGTCTAAGAGAACAATATTCTTATGTAAATAAGCATGTTATCATGAATTATTTCACTACTGCAAAATTTGGGGGGATTACAAAAAAACATTTCATCTGAAAGAAAAATGATGATGGGAAACTCAGTAGGATTATTCTAGCATTACAAGTGACGAATGTGTAATTAGGACACATTTTTCAACAAGAAGGTACTTTAGTTAGCTTGATGTTGATAGATGGAGCAAAGCATCTCCATTGAGGACCCTCCCCCCACCATAGGATATCAGGACAGCAAGACAGAGGGAGGGGCTGCTGTAGCTATTGTCAACTTGCCAATTGCATACCACAAACAAATTAAATCTCGAATGACTAATTAGAGAAATTACTCTTACCTGTCTGATGCAATAACCTCTTAATGATGTTGGCCATTCCTCAGAGACTACAGGTGCTTTAGCAAAACCAATCAGAGGGAGGGGTGACTGCCTCTTAAACCAAAAATGAACCTCAAGGTATTTTCTCCTTGTAACATTATGTTCATGGGGAGTCAGAGGCAACACAGGTACAGAAGGCATTTTTCTTGGCACTAATAAGTTACCTTATGTTTCTGGCCAAGTATGAGCTCTCTAAGGAATCTGGTAGCTCCTTGAGACCAGCTGGTACAGGTTAAATAATTACACAGTCTATAATTCAATTAAAATTGGGTTTTTTGTTTTGGTTGCCATGTGCCTCATGAAACACCCTTTGGCAAAGACTCATTTTTGTTGTTGTTTTTTCTTTTCTTCCAAGGCAAAATATTAGAAAGAGGAAATTTAAGATTGATTGCATTTAAATATAGTTAATGACAAATTCAATAAGGTTTGGTCACTGGGCTTAATGATATACATCTGATTAAAGTGGATGACCTGCTATCTGCATTTCCAAGCACATGCATCCTAACTGCTAACCCCACCATAAAGTCAGCCATATCAGAATCTCTGATTTATTAGCTGTAGCTTCAATTTCTTCTGTTTGACCTCAGAGGCCTACAGTGTGTAGTGAGTTTTGATTTGATGAGGTTTAAATTTGAACAGCACAGGCTGCCTGAGTCACAGGAAGAGACTAGCCTAGCTGATCCACACCTGCTCAACTTACATAACGTGGCAACTTTGCCTCTCCACCCACAGTCACATAGGATGTCACTTTTGTGAAGGCACATATTTTAATTCTCTGGGAATAAAGACATTGAAGAAAAAGTCATGAGCTGCCCCTGGGAATGGAAATAAGAAGTACAGCAATCTAAGAAAAGAATGATGTGTTGGCCAAAAAATTAAAGTTTTGTGTAATTTTAAGGGTGCATGGAATATCAAATTCAGTAGTGACTCCAATCTACGCTGAAAAAATGCATCCCTCTTTATAAAGACACAAGAAAAAAATCAATTTGGGATTTGTTTCAGTAAGTACAAATACTGCTCTCTGGATGGAAGATAAAGTTTAAGGGAATGCTATGCAGATGGTTACATTGTGATGGGAAGAAATGCACAGGAAACACACAAAACCAACATGCAAAAATGTTTCATATTTGCAAATTTAATAATGAACAAATGACCCAGGAAATGTCCTTTATAAGACTGCTCTGTGCTACCATCTGAGAGCCACAATGGAAGGCTGCCCAGACTGCCTTCATCCCAGTTCACAAGACAGATGGCCTTTTATAAGGAGCTTTCAGATTGCCAACCCACGTCATTCTCAGGACAATGGCCAATTTCAAGAGGAGTAACTACTGTCACTTTGGCCCTATCAGAACCAAAGCCCAATGCACCTTCCCTGCCTCTTGCCCCTCAACCCATGCTTTTGTAGCCTGTTCCCTTGACTCCAATTATTCCTGGGTGATAAGAGAGGGGAGGGGGCCTGAGGTTAGCTGAGAAGCATTATATTTCCTACTGCTATGTTGCACAAACTTATTCCTTTTCTAGAATTCTTCCAGAGGTTATTCCGTGCAGAAATAGCCTTTTTGATCTAAACTTCTTTCTCACTTCTCCACCATGTTTCTAGAAGAGCCCCTGCCAAAGGTTGACCAGCTACCTCAGCTTCTTACCCCTGTACATCCAAAGTTTAGTTCACCTTTTGTTCCTTTGCTCCAGGGTCTCCCTGGCCTGTAATGCTTTCCTCTGGCCATGCAAATGCCACCATTTCACAAGGCCTGCTTATGTTCTGCCTCCTCCAGGAAGCCCTGCCTGACTGCTTCAACCCTCACTGACCGTTCTCTTTTCTGCCCTTGGTAAATTTCTCCCTTGTTTTCTTCTCTGTTGTTTCCTATGTGAAAATGTTGGTTCTCAGAAGCACCTGAGGGAAAGAATGGTATCTTTGACTTGTATGTGTGCATGGCACACAGGGACTAATTACTGTTTGACTGAAATTAACAAGAACTACACACAATTGACTAATTCCTGGGCACAGTTCATGTTTAGATAGTAAGTGGGAATTTCCTCCAAACCTTCATTTTGGCACTAGAATTAATTAGCTTTCTAAAATGCAAATTTGACTAAAGTGTGTTTCAAACCCTTCAGTGGCTCTGCACAGACTACAGGACAAAGACCATGTGCCTCAGCATGCGCACGAAGCCTCCCATGAGCTCAGCCTCATCTCTCACCATTTTCTACTTCCTTTTAAGATTGTGGCAATAATAAATTTCTTGTGTCTCCCCTCTCTACTGTTTTACCTGTCTACACCTTTATGTATGCTAGTCCACCTACCGGGAATGTCATTCTACCTATGTCACTAGGCAAACTCCTTTTAATTCTTCAAGCTGTGCCTGGGTATCATTTCTACAGTACCCTCTCTGACACTCCCAGAGGTAGTGCTAGCTTTCAAAGTGTGGTCTCTGGACCAGTGGTATCGACACCAACTAGGAACCTGTTAGGAATGCATATTCTTGGGCCCCATCCTAGACCTACTGAATTAAGAACTCTGAGGGTGGGGCTCAGCAGCCTGTTTTTTCAAAAGTCATCCCCATGATTCTGATGCACAATGAAGTTCAGGAATCACTGCTCTATATTATTTCCTTATCTTAGACAGCATCCCATCCATCACAGCATCCATCATATTCCCTATCTTAGACATATGAAGGTACTTCAAAGAGGTCCCAGACAGATTCATATTATCTTTTAATTCTATTTATCCATGAACTTTTTGAAGTACTCTTGTACATCTATTACAGAATTCATCACATGTCATTTCATCTATATGTTTAACATACCTGCTTTCTCTGCTTGTGAGGGTGTGGGCAATATTTTATTTACCTAAGATATCAGGCACTTATTGAACTGAATTAAATGAATTCCTCTAGGTAGCCCACGATTTCAGTGGCAGTAATACTAATAATAATAGCAGTTAATATTTACATAGCACTAATCTTCAGAGAAAAAATCATAGTTATAAATCTAGCAATGTAATCATAGTATATTTAAAAGAAAAAACAATTTTAATATAATAGTATGAGTAGTAGCTGAGGCCTTAGCCTTTTGTACAAAGGACAATGGATTTGGAGCCAGAAGCTCTGGAGTCAAGTCCCAGCTATGACATTTATTAATTCTGTTGTTCTAGACAAATAAATAATGTTGTATCTCTGGGACTCAGTTTCCTTATCTTTAAAACACAGATAATTATATGAGATAAATGTAGGTGAGGTCATTTTGCAAACTGTAAAGTGCCGTTAAATGTTTTTGTCTCTTCTCTCTAACCTGTTTTCCATGTGTGTCCCACAGTCTTCCCTCCTCACCTTAATTCCTGTCATCATTTTAAGCCCAGTAGATCAAGATGTGAGAACTAATGAGGTGGGAGAAAGGGGCTGAGCTGGCACTGGAAAGAAAAAGAAAGGAAAGATAGCTCAGCCTATCCCGGCACATTATGTGGCTTCTCTTTGTTCTTTCCTCACCCAAGAGAGTCTGTCGTCAAGGGTTGACACTGAAAACTCAGCTTCGCAAACCACACAGAGTTGATATGATGCAAGACAATCCTACACATCCCAGCTTACACCAGTCAGCCTTGTCACCCCTGCCATGCAAAACAGTTTGAAGATGCATGGGATTCATAATGACAGTGCGTGATTTCTACCACACAGAGTTGATATGATGCA